TTTTCGCTTTCAAAAGGGTAATCAACGTTCTTTCTTCCCTCGTTGAGATCATTCATCTTGAATTAAAAAGAATTCATCCCAAATTAATTAGACTCGCTAATTATTCCTTTCCCCTACATTTCAAAGCGAAAACAGCACACGTCAACATTTTAAAGCAAATTAGTAAAGTGAGCAACAAAATTGGAGAACAACTCCAACTGAAGTATTCAGATGAGCCAATTTAAATCAATTGATTAAGCCACTCGTTGCTGACTTAAATATTTTAGTTGGGAACCGCAATAACTGAACCCTAAGTTTGCAGAACCGAAACTAAACACACCGTTTTGGTTTGGCTGAATTAGTTCATTTGAATGCAGATCACGGTGCTACTGTGTATACCAGTATTCCGATCGATTTGCTCTAAATTTTATACTGTCAAGTTTTCTGCAGGGTTCCCAATGAGACCGACATTTATTGCGACGTATGCATCAAGTAAATGTCTTAGGTCTAGTATACGGGTAAATGTAAATACCAATATAAGTTTTTGGTGAACGTTATTCGTTTACTTCACTAACTTAGTTCTGTTTTATGTACGGGATGATGTGCACAAGATTTGGGAGTATAATTTATTGAACTTTGAAAAAGCAGTTCCTTCACTACTCGTTACCTATAGAATCTTTTCTAAAGGCAGCAATACATGAAAGCTTTGAATAACTCTTTAATTATTTTTTGTTCTATCCGGGACACGTTAGTTTGTCCAACGTTTCCCATAGTGACATTGGGTCTGGTTAGGGGACATGATAGGTTACGTATTTGTGAATAATTCAATAAAATTACCTGCACTTTAATAATCCAGTTTCACACCCTTGAAAGCAAAACCAGTGTAAGGATGTGATTAAAAGTTCTAAGTCTTCTTAAATGGAGTTTAATTATTCTGTCTACGAATACGACAAAACCTTTCACTGAAGCGCCCTCACGTGGATAGGATATAATAAAGTTTCCAGGCACTGTTCGACACCTTTTCCACAGTTCAGTTTCAAAATCGATATAATTTGTTTCATTGGGATTAAGGTGGTGAGGGCTTTTGAAATTTACTTTGTTACGAACTGTAGCTATATTAAAGTTGCGTGAATTTAGAGAGGCCCAAAGAATGAAGTGTAATTGAATTATTAAACATTGGAATGGTAGGAAGTTGTTCAACCGAACTAATCGTTTTAGAGTTTAGGAAGTACAAAATGATATTCTATAATTCGTTGTAAAGAAAACGAAATCTTGTCTCTATTGAATTTTAACAGTCATCCGTGCTCTCTATCGCTTTTAATAACGTAATTCGTATTAATTTATGATTTCGGCGATAAGATTCCGGAAAATTGAGTTATTCTTAATAAAAGAGGCTTCTTGTTAGGAATTTGAAGAGGTGATTAATAAATTGCGAAAGTGTATCTTTTCTTCATTGGATTTCTTGCTCTCAGCCTTCGAACAGGTCTGCACTTATCGGAGATGTTCCAAATCATTAATTTGTCAGTAAGAGTTATTTAGCTTATATGGCTTCTGGAGTGTAAATTATAATTTGTATTTTACTCTTTTAACGTTCGGTTGCAAGAATATAACGAGCGATTAAAAAGTTTGCAGATTGGAATGGGCTACAGAAATATTTTTGTGTCTTTAATTAAAATTTCAAAGATCCCTGTGATTTCGTTCCGATTTTGAGAAGTTCGAATTTTTGACATAATGCAATTTTAACTGAAGTGAAAATAAAAAACTTTATATTTCACGTAAAACTTAGATAGAAATGAGTTGCGATATACCACAAAGTTTAGACGATTAATATTTACTAGAATGCTAAAATTAGAAGTTTGTTTGTAGACACAAAAATAAAAAATTAAATTTTGTATGATAAGATAAGTAAAAAGAATCACAATATTAAATGCAAAATTTATTATCTAATATGTAGAATAAGGCAGTCATCGGTGAGCCTCACCCTCATTCTTATTTATGTTATATCAGACTTCAGACATTTTCAGTAACACAAAATTAGCAACTGTGAGTTTGTAGTTTTAAAAAGAATTATTGCACAATGATGTAAAGTTGACGAACGAATATTTCCTAGTATATTAAAAATAGATAACAGGTATTATATAGGTTACAACTATCATAAACTCTCAAAGAAAGTTTGTTTATACAAACATTTATCTACATTCTCTGAATTTAACGTATTCGCTGAAGGTTTACGGATATTATAACTTCATCTGTCTACCTATTAGTTTTCGTTTGTTGCAGTGGTTAAATCATGACGTTGAGGCAACATTTCTCAAAAATATATTTGTGTATGTTTATAGAATTAAGTTTTCGTTTTAATATCAAAAACATGCGTCACAGTCGTAGAAAATGATGATGTTTTCTGTTTATGTACTTATATGAGCAGTGGCGCTTTGTCCAACGGGTCATTTTTGACACTTGTATTAATTAAATAGTTTTTTATGCGTTTAATCAACGTTAAAAAGCTAAAAGCAACATCATTGATGTAAAACTAAAAGGTGAAAGGACCAAACTGAGACCCTTGTGGAATTCTTGAATTTATTGTGATGATGTTATGAAAATTATGTGAAATGTGAAAGTCGCCGTCTCTGAGTCATGAAATACAAAGAAACAGTTACAAGTTCAGGGTTGGCATTATTCATTAAAAATTTTTTTTACTCCTCCACTAATACTCGTACCATTAGCGGTAAAACAGTAAACAAAATATGTCATTGTGACATTTGTTGATTTTACATATGCACATGTTAAAAGCACACTCTGTTGAATATCATGCACGACGTTTATTAATATGAGGCACGTGATGTATGACCATAAAGTTTAAAATTCAGCATTTCAATTTTAAAACGACTATCGGTTTTACCTTAACTACTTTCGTGAACGACCTTTAGTGCCATTAGAATTCATGTGGAAGTGTTCACATGCGGGTTTTCCAACCAGTCATCCAAACATACGTTTTTCTATAAGACTTTACGACGTGTGGTCTGCAATTTAAATGAGTAACAAGGGGTAAAAAGCGACTGTAAAATATATCCAAACTTTCGAGACTTTCACTGGTATCAAAGAACTGGCATGCATTCAAAACTCCCCATGCGGTGTCAAATTGTAAATAGACTAAAAACGACCTGTTACAAAAATAATACTTGTCCGTCAAGCTGGGATACATTTAGGCATAATAATTAGACTCCGCGAAGTAAGAGATTTGCGGAATTAAATCATCAGAGGTTTTGATACTCAGTATATCAATAATTTATAATTTTTATTTTCAAGAGATAGTCTTGTTAAGGTACAACTGTACTAATCCGCATCGGACATACAGATCCAGCGATCGGATTTTTAATCGGTTGGCAATCTGGTCATATAAATTATTCTTACTTTCCTATTTTTACTAACTACAACAACAACCAAGTTCTTTATCGAGTGCTCTGCAGCAGCTTATGATTGTGTCCGTAAAGAATTAAAATTAAATTTAGTTGATAAGCGTCTTCACAAAGGTCTCTTTCAGGATGGATGCAACCTAATTTAAAACAAATCTTTGAATCGTTATATTATAAGGAGATGACTAGATGATGGCATAATACCCTAGCTTGGGACGCACAAGAGCAAAAAATTATATTATTAACGGCTGAATCACGATAAATTCTCTGCAAGATCGATGAACTAAATCCAAACTCTTCACTGACCTTCTAACTACGTCCTTTATGTGTGGCACAAATGTAAGTCTGTTGTCAAAAATAGCTCCCGAGTCTTTAAAGTATTTCGTTCGTTAACTCTTCTAGTTTATACCTATTTTAGAGGTATAGGTTATGGAATTTTTCTGACCCGAGAATGTCACGAGGTAGCACTTAGGTTCGTTTAAAATCAGTTAGTTTTTTTGACACTAAAGATATAAGATATTAATATTGTGTTGAAGAGTTAGACTGTCATGTACTTAAGAGACTGGTTAATAAATCATTGAAAAATAACGAAAACAACAATGGAGCGAGATTCAATCCCAAACTATCCCCATCTAGAAATCTCGGAATTATTATTATTTTTTTTATTCATTGGTTGTAAAGTTTCTAAACGATTAAATCGTCTCTTAGAGCAGCTATAAAGACATATTTAAATATCACAGAATTTTGCATGATAAATGCTATAAATTCAAACTCTGGCGCTTTAAGTTTCACAAAACTTGAATAATATGAAACTTTAAAAATTCTTCTACATTTTTTTGTGTGAAAATTTCAGACTTTTACTTCCGATAAAGTTAATGGTAATAATTTTATAAAGTGACATTGTGATGATTTTTTTTTATTTTTTTTTTTTTAATAAATTCTGTGTCTTCTGAAGGTGTATAATAATAATTAAATTTACAGATAAAATATCTTGTTGTCAACTTTTCCTTTTTAATTCTTTTAATTACTAAAAATCGATGCTAACAAGACCATTTATTAACAAACAAAAAAAAAAGTGAAACCCACTCGCCTTGACGAAATAAAACGAATTGGTTTTTGAAGTGAAGCAATGCTTATAGCTTGTTAAATTTAATTACTTTGTGCGAATTTTAAGTCAAAGAAGCGTATAAAGAAAATTGGCCAATTATCAAAGAGTAAGGATAACTAAGCGCCGACTTGAAGTATACGATGCAATTACAGGTTCAGTTAACGTTCGCATACTCTATCATCTTATTGTAAAATAAAAACCCAACGACTCTATCATTTAAAGAGAACCCCCAAGTCTGAAGCATCATGTAAATTTTGTTTACGCTGAAGTTTAGAGAGCCTATTGAAGCGTTTAGAGTAATAATTTCGAGATCGAAAGACTTCAATACCGAACATATCGAAAAAACGCTTCCGAATAAAATTGCAAAATCTTGCGAGATATTCTGCCTCTCACTTTGCAAAGAAATACGAATTCGTTATCGTGACTGTGTCGGGTTTACTTTCAATAAGAAAGATAAATAATGTAGAGGACCGAATTTTGCAAACTTTTTTTCTTTGCAGTGTGTAGCCCCTGAGAGCTGCTCTTCGGGCAGCACTAACAACAGCCACTGCCCTTCCAGCCCGCGCCCTAAGATGACCGTCAATTCGCAGTCGGGCCCCAGATCCCCCCGACCCCCCGACGACCTTATTAGCACTGCCACTTCCGCCCTCCGACGCCTTCATTTTAAAACAGGAAGAAACGCCACCAAAAATTCCACTAAGGTAAGCTGGGTTCGACCACAGGTTGTCTTACAGAAAATCTTCGATGAGAAAAACAAGAAGCTGTTTTTGGTGCAGTTATACCATATTTAATACTCATTTTTGAACTTAACCCATCTTTGAGCAGTTGGCAATATCTCAATGATTTCTTTATCATCACATTTTTTATCCTAAATCTTTAATGTCTAGAAACTTTGTTAAAAAATAACGATACTGTTAGTCATCTCATAAATTAAATTCCTTTATCATCTTATTTTTCTAAATGAGTGTACAGATTGATGACAAATATTTAATTTTAATCTATGATTTCGTGGAAAATAACTTTGAGTGCTTCTTATTCTACCGCCTCATTTCTACAAAGTAGCTTTTTTATTTATCATATATTTTTTCGTCTTTTTGAAGTTAAAATATATACCTGCAGTTGAAAATAAGGCTGATTTTTCTGTAATATTTATTTCGGTGATGAAGGCTATTTGACGCTGAAAAATTCAGAAGTATTGGCAAAGATTATTTTTAGATTCTGAAAAGCCTAATTGGGAAGTAAATACGTCAGCAATTTTATTCAGATGATTATTTTTAGAAACATTTTTTGTTAAGAACTAAAAATACAACAATCTGTTTAAAAACTAATATTTAAGTAATAATAATTTATTTATTTTTAATTATTAATATTACTATTATTGTTAAATAATAATTCCTGTTCATTGTTAAACAATATAATGATTTTCGCTGTGTTGGCCAGGCCAAACAGCCGTCTGCTGGATGGGTCTCGAAACCATGTAAAGTATGTTAAGTTGATGGTATTACTGAAAGTGTTGTTTGATACACAGCTTTAAATATATATTTTTGCTACTACTATAAAACGGCAAGAATTTATACATTTTTTAATTTGACGATGTATTTGATTCATTATATTTTACCTCGTACAGACACCGATCTGTTGCATTAAATGCATATTTGTATTTTCCTCATTATTACTATTATTATACACAAAACCATACTTGAGGTACAAGTACGAACAAGGAACACACCCTGAGATTGGTTTGTTCACTTTAAGATGAAAGTAGCAAGAGTATCAATCTAGGCAGAGAACCTCACTTTAATTAACCGATTAATTAACGTGATTGGATGCAGTGGAGTACATTTTAGTGTGGGAGAATAAGGTCATTATAATTCTGATGTTTGCAGCAGATGGAGTGTCTACACCTGTGTGGGCAAATATGGCAGTTAACAATGCCACTAATACACTGCTGCGGAATAGATATTGTTAGGAAGAGCGACATTATCACGAGAATACTGCAGACACACTAACACTGTCTTTTGACTAACAATTTGTGAGGCGCATTACAATAAAGTTGAAATGAAAAACTCTTTAAACAATTTACATTTTCAGTTATGCTGTGTTGAACCAGACGCCACGTCGAGTGTAAAAAGACAAGCTTCATGCAAGTTGCATTTAGTAAGCTAAAGTTGTAACATTTACACAAAAATCGTTAAATCGTTTTGACACGATTTACAAACACAGGCATGAATATAAATTAAGTTTAGTTTGATTTAATACTATAGCTGTAAATTGGAAAAAACGGTGACAACAAAGATCGAACTTAAATAAAAAAAGATCATGACTGAAAAAGAAACACTAGTTCAAGATAATTTACTTAGTTTTTTGGAAAGTTAATCTTTTCCTTTTGCCTGGTAGAATTAATTCTTGTAAGTCTCAAATTAAATATAATACTTACTAAATACATTATAATATGTCACCTCAAATACTTAAAAAACTCAATTGTCTGATAATATTTGTTTTTTTCCAAGTCACAATCAGTTCCAAAAGTTATCGTCATGGGCTCAAGCACGGCTTCAGAGACCACCATCAATACCAGCACCGACAGCTCCAACACCATCGTAACGACCGTAACAGCAACAGACGGGGACAATACCGAAGACAGTTTGGACATTACGGAACCACTGGATTATTTCAATTCTGATAACAACGCACCGGACGGTAGCAAAATCCTTCAACCAGTTCCTGTATCACCTAAAACACCAACAACAGCAAAACAACAAACGCCGCCGACGGCCAAACATGACACAAAATTCAACTTTGAAGTAGAAACACCCAAGGCCGTTTTATCAAAGCATGACAACAGGTTCGTTTTTGACGCGAACGAGGTCAGCTGCCTTCCTGAAGAAAAGAGCGTGGAAAAGCTAATGGAAGAGCAGATAGAGGCTTTGAAACTAGAGGCCCGAAGACGGAATAGCTACAAAGCTGCTGCACAGGGCGACTTCAATAAGATGTCGGTGGCGAAAGCCATGGAGAGGACCAGCCCGAAGGACTTCAGGAGGAGCTACAGGGCAGCCACTCACGACATGGATAAGAAGGATGGAAGTCCGAAGGAGCACAGGAGGAGCGTGAGGAAGAGGCTGGACGTGGAGGGGAAAGAGAAGCCGGAGAGGACTTCGCCGAAGAGACGGGCGGAGAGGAACTTGAACTCTTCCCCGGAGACAAATGAGGATTCTCCAAAGCCTAAACACAGACACAAAAAGACGAGTCGGCGTCACCACTCGCCGAGTAAGCAAAGAGAGAAGTTCAACTACGACGAGAAACATATCGCAAAATATCGGGAAAAGGCTCGCATGACCCCGCCTCTGCCAGACCTCCGAGTAGACTTCTTCAACGAAACCGTGGATGCTTGCCAAGTGGATTCGTTGCATGTTTCCGGCGAAAAGCGCGGCAGCGTGTGTCTCAACAAATGTTTACGAGAAGTGGGGGCCCAGCTAGAAGCATCTGCCACATCACCTATAAATGTTACTACTAATCCATTGGAAAATTCAGTGCACTTTGGTGGCCGCAAAGCTCCGCAAGCTACCATTGTCGTTCAACAGCCGTCGCTCAGCTTGGACCACTCGAATGTGTCCACGATTCTCCTGAAAAACGGAAGTGAATTCGTGTCGAACGTAGAGAGTGCCGGGAATAAGTTGAGTTTCAAGAGACAGAAGGAAGAGAACATGAAACAGTTGCTGGATGTTGCAAACAATCTAACCCTTGAGGAAATTCATGACTTCGAAATGAGGTAATTCGCATTTCAAATTCGATTTTTAGGCCGTATTTTACTTTCATATGCTGAAATTTATAGCGATCAAATCGAATTTGCATAATTTTAAAGAGGGAAAAAACGCACATGTTAGGGACGCGCTGTTTGAGAGTCAGCAAAAACACGCTTAAACATGTGTCAACACATGATAGTTGAGGTTCGACTTTCCTCCAAAGATTTCAGCGCATGTTAATCATCTGCAAACGGAATTATGGAAATTTATCGAAATAGCACGCATAAAGCTCGTTCTTACGTTTTTCTGCATTTACATGTTTTCAAATAGCTTGTACTTGATATAAATAGCTTTAATGTTGATATCACCATTTCTATTTCTGTTTCGCATTAGTAAACCTATTTTTAGTTAAATTACACTAATTATAACTAGAACAATTTTAAATAGCCTCGTTTATTTTGCCAGTTAACGCTCTCACTTTCGGTCATTTAAAACGTGATTTTACAAAAGTATCATTATTTTATTTTGACAGTGCGTGGTAAAGAGAACACGTCCATTTACTTAAACTTCTACTTAATTTTCTCATGCGTTTACAAAGCAATTTATCATAATTATATAGCAAACCTGGTTCTCGTACCAAATGTGATTTAGTGCTTACTGGTATATTGCAACCTAAATGGAAATAATACATAATTATATTCATAACCACACTTTGGATATTTTTGCTTCGGTAAAATTTTCGAAAAGTACTTGGTAGTGAACGAAATGTTATTTTTTTAAATCAAGGCCCAAAATCCTTTGAAATACCCCAGTTTTTAGATATGCCAAAAGTTCTTCAAGATCTATACACAACCAAAAATTGCGCATACGATAAAATGGCCAAATATCACCAAAAACCTCAAGAACCTAAAAAATGTCCTTGTCTGTAGACACTCGAAAATGGATTTTTACTCCTGGCCCATCGGGAATCAGATCTGACTAAATATGTGTATTTTTTCGGATAAGATTGGTTTTGTTCTAAAAATTAAAGATGCCTGTGTTCTTTTTAAATAAACACCAAACAGTTAAAAATTTTTGGTTTCAAATACCAACAAAAAATGTGAAAGAAGAAATTTGTCCTGGCAATATTAACATTGAAATTATTTATTTATTGAAACAAGTACAGCTATAAATTTAGAAACTGAATAGAAAGAATTAAATCAGGCCTCAAATGCAAAGATTTGTAATGAAGAATATTTCAGTTTTGTTGGTATAGTTGCTCTGAAAAGATTAAAACATTTTATTTTAGCATTGTTGTAAAGATGCGTGTAAACTGCAAGTATCAAAATATTACCAGACAATGACAGATAAATAAAACTTTCTACTACACAGACAATTTTTTGCTACGAGCTCTGTTATGAAAATGTCAAGGTCTCGGCTTCTAAACAACTCATAAATTCGACTGGAGCTAAATTTATAAGTTACTTCACATAACTCAATGAAAGACAACAGTCATAAAATTAAAAAAAAAATAATCAAAAATATTAAAGAAATTTTACGATATCGACAGGTCTGAACTCTTAGCGGCGTCGTTGAAAATAGTAGGATAAGCAAATAAAGCAAACAATGAGAATTTCAAAGAAACCAAAATCCTGCATCAATCATTTCCTTAAGTAACGTAGCGTAAACAAATTTTAGAAATAGCCTTTTTGATGTTTATATCATGCATTTTGCGTCATAGTCAGTGCATTAAAGTCAGTTCACCTGTTGCCATAAAATTTTAATTTCATCAGGTCGCGAACTTATAAATATTTAAGGTATCTTTTCCTTCAAAGCTATAGAGTTTATTGATACTGGACGCTTAAATAAAAAGCGCATTTCAGTTGGTATGATTTTGTGCGTAAATTTGCTTTGATGTTTATTTATGTGGCATTGGGAACGAACGTGGTGAAAGTACAATAATCAGTGAAAGATAAATTTAGTTGTTCTTCTCGATTATTCAACCCTTTTGCTGACGCAACGTGGATCAATAAGACCCAGATATACAAATGTCCATAAATTTTGTTGAAATCATTCAAGTTTATTTGAATGGTTTAAGATAGCATTTATCGCACTGTCCAAGCTGTACTAAGCTATTATCATCCAAGCACAAAACACATTTGTGAAGTGAAATGGGAAGAGGACAGCATAAAAAAACAAAATAAGGGTTATTGTAAAATTTAACGCTTACGGTTTTAAAAGGAAAATCGTGCCCCGAAGTTCTCAAAAAGTAGTTATTCATAAAGTTCCACCTTAAAAACTTATTACGGCCGAGTTTATAAAAATTATGATCTTAGTTCCGACTTCATTGTTTCAGATCACTCGTTCGCATACTAATGAGACAAAAATAGACGTTTAAATAGCGTATTTTACGACAGCGATTAACCTGAAAACCCCGCTGCAGAATTCGATGAAACAGAAATCATCAACTTTAAAACTTAGAAATTTAGTTAATGGTCCCGTAGATAAGAAAACAGGAACTTTATGAAAGCGTTACATTGAATTATACAGCGGAAGGTAGCACTTTTTCGAATCGATTTCAGACGTGTCCCATCATGCAGAAAAATGAACTGAATTCAAAAACCCCTCGACGCGGAGTCACCCAGCGCAAAAATATAACGAACGTTACTATTGATTCTCTTAATTTATGTTTAGTCCGTAATGATTCATCATTAACTTTGCCCAAATAACGTTTAATCTTAATTTGGAAGGTACGGCAGTCCGCACCACAATCGATCTCAGTCCGTGAAGACTCCGGGCCGGTCCTCTGGCAGACCGAACTATCTTTGTTTGCCACAGCAAAGGTCTAGAGTGGCGTCGATGCCCAACACAGGCGTTGAAGAGGAGTATTATCGCCTACGACACTTCTCAATCACTGGAAAAGGCGTCGTCAATAGGGGCGACAGTCTGAAAAGCCGCAGATCCAGGTCCAATAATTCGGTGGCTTCCAGCAATTCAAGGTAGGGTCGCTGCACAATTTGCTAGATGCCGAGCTTTTCAAAACGCTATAACGAGTTAAAGGCCCGCACACACTAAACTCCCAGAAAATATTTAGTAGGAAAAAAGGTTATGAGTGTCAAGGGATTTGTACGAGGAGGTGGGTTTAGCCACATCTCAATGTTGCAACGGTTTAAGTTACTCTCTTAAATTTCCCATTTGATATTAAACACAAGACAGTGAAAATTCTTTCAGTGTAGAGACAGAACGTGCAGGTGGTCCTAACAAGAATTTTTTTCTTGTAATTTATGACAGCTTCTATTACAAAATTTAATAGAGTACGATAACTTTGTCATTATTAATTTAACTTTTTATGCTTGCATGCCTGAAATGAATCAAATGAAAACCTTATCATATGTTTTGCGTGTATCAATTTGGATCACGGTTGGAGGTAGAAAAACTAACGCATTCAAACATAACGGTACACAAATCACTCAAAGCCACATAAACGTACACAGGGGGCTACTATTATGAACACTCTCATCATCAAGTTAATGAAGCAAAACAATGTGTGGGGCTTTTCATGGGTCATAATAATAATTATTTATTTAATAAACACCTAATAATAATCCGTTGTCAGACTACGTTTCATAAAAGATGTTGAAGCATGAATACTAAGAAAGTGTGCAGACAGCGTGCTACAAATTGATGTATTTGCTACTTAAACTTAAATGTGATATGTAATTATGTAAAATAAAAATGAAAAAATAATCATCCACATATTGTGCGAAAAAGGGAGAATTAGAATTAACTGTGGCCCTATAAAAGAGTGTTTAATTCTACCCAAAGTAAATAAATATCGTATACGTGTTTGTCTGAATGTCTCTGTGACGATAATTTTGACCTCAAACACCCTGAGGATATGGTTTAGCAGTCACACAATTGCCAATTGGAGATTTATGGCTACAGTCAACTCTCAACCTCTTTTTTCAATTCACGGTATATAAACTGTCGTTAGAGATTTCTATAAAAGTTTTACGATTTTCCACGGAACACGACAGCGAAGATCGAAACTGCTACAATAAACATAAATGGTAGTTACTGTGTGTTTTAAAGATTCTTTATGCTTAAATTTAAATTTTTCATAAACAGTTGGCGTTTATTCTGGCTAGGTCGTACTAATATTATTATATAACATATGCAATAAAGTGGATCAATGTGTTTGGTGCTCTTTATGTTTTATTTGCTAATAAAAAAGAAAATTTGAGTTAAACTTAAACTCTGAGATTGTTTTTTTTATTACTTAAGGCTTTATGTAAATTGAATATTTATTCAGTATTCAAATATGTTGAAACGTTTGTATGCAGAGAATTTTTGTTTCTTTAAAATATTTCTGCTTCTTACTCCAAAAAAGGTAAATAAAAAATCACGCAGAGGTAAAATCATTACTAAATCTACTAATACTAGAGGGTTCTAGTGTCAATTCGGTTCCTTTACAGAAAAACACAAATGTGTAAATATATGTGGGTTGCTCTATTTAAACAAACGTAATTTCAGTGTTTGACTTATAAATAGAACATCTAGCGTATAGTAAAGAAATAATTTTACTTTGTGTACGGAAATGAACTATATCAGAATTTATACACTTGTATCAAGCTACTGAAAGTCATTAATCTTACAATATAAAATATAAGACATCGCGACATGTGTAAACCACACATTGTGTTAAATTTGCATTAGAAAATCCCGACTTTATGTTATGCATTCATCATAACATAAATACATTTGAACCGTAAAATTTAAGTGAGTGATATAAAATGAACTGGTAAATAACAATTTCAAGATGAAAGAGCAATATCAAATGCTGTACGATACATTTTGTGTAAGTGTTCCCAAAATAGTCATTTATTTAGCACTCAGTACTGGAAGAAAAATTTATTAGATTGATTATTATTTGCTTTGATCACGTTTTATCAGTACCGTTTTAAAAATGTTTTATTAAAAAATTTGAGTTGGTAAACCTGAAGCCAAAAAACATAAACTAATGACTAATAAGCTCCTTTATTTTCAAAAGGTATTGATTACAATTAACACTTGTCAGCTTTTTAGCAAGTATCTTAATGTCTTTGAACATGAATATCGACTAATCGGGAAACTAACACATTTATTTTGTGATTGCAAAATTCCTTTTGTAATTTTACCAAAACAACTGGCTTGAACAGAATAGAACTCAGTGAAATTCGAAATAGAGTTCAAAGGGACGTCTTGAGAGATTGGAATACTAAATTCACAGTTTGTATAAATCTTGGCCTTAGAACAATTGTTAACAAAAAAGCGTGTATTTTGATTGGAGTGACTTAAATGAAAACAGAATCGTTTGTGCACCAAGTTGAAGAGAAACAAATGCGAGAAAGAAACGTTTACAATGCCAGCAGCGATTAATTCTTCAGATGGCAGTTTTAAACGAGGCTAAACCTACAATTACTCATAAGTTGCATGCGGAACGGATAAACTTGGACGTTTACAAAGACCCTTAAATGACAATGTTTATTCATAATTTATTGATTGTCGCCTATTTATAGACACACAAACCTAGACTCTGCTCAAATACACCACATATTTATAGGCAAAGTGTATGATAAAGTGACTGAGTAAACCGCTTTGGGCGTTTTCACATGCTGCAGACAGATCGATAGAGTGTCTACTCGTTCCTCTTGGGCCCTTTTACCGGAAAATTTCACAACAATTATCCTAACTGGACGTAGAATACAGCCGGAGACGAATTAACAACTTAGGAATGGCCATTAAAAATTTACAAAGCTCGTGCTTAATTAATCTACCAAATAATTTTATTATTCCATTTGTTTGTTGTTCCCAAATATCAAACAGCAGTAAGATTTATGTTTACTTCATGACTTTTTGATCACTCAAGGTAATTTTTATGTGCCTACCATCGATGTTCATTTCAGTATTTACACAGAAAACCAACAAAAATTCATACGTTTTTACATCCACTTTCAAGGTTAGACTTATAAATATTTTGACAAGATAAACGAAAACGCGAAATTGATGTTTACTAAGAGAGATTTGAAGCTTTTTTTTTTGGAGTGCACTCTCGTAAATTTCTTACTCAACTTTGTGAATTCGTAACATGTGTAATAACTGAATCATAATTTATGCACGGTTTAGATAGATGGAGATTTATTTTTATGGAGTTTTTTGAGAACTAAACACTCGGATGGCTTTATGGACAAGTTTAAATAGAGATGTATGGATCCCAGAATGTTTAGCTCTTAACTGTTTCCTGATTTAAAAAACAGGTCAAAAGTTACATGTTTTGTTAATTTTAGCGTTCCACGGTTGCTGTTTCGCGCGTCAATAAATGCGTACACTGTAAGCCAAAACCTCAGTCCACATTGTGTGGATATTCAAGAAGTAACTTAATTTTCGTACATGCAACTGCAACTATGTTAATATTAAATTTGTAGAGTCCTCCAAATTACTGCGGAAGTTGCACTGTTTCAATGTTGGCCACGATTCAGAGATCGCTGAAACGAAAGATAAATGACGGATACTTTATTTTTACGGATAGTGAACATAAAAACGTTATATTAAAGACAAGGAGCAAGCTCCTTTAATTTACGTGCTGTTAAAAAAGCTATATTGCTTTTAGGGTTCTTAATCGGTTTCAAATATTTGTTGCTTTGTATGAAAACTAAGTATTCACTATACTCCATGTACAAATATATGTTTATTATAGATAATTTGTTATCGTTTCTTTCATAGCTAGTAGGTTTTAATGTATGTAGTAAGTAATTTAATCATTCGCTTGGGACACCACACGCTCTATACAGTTGAAATCAGTCGACATTAAATCGTTCCCCGATTTTTCTTCTGTGGAAAATAAGCGGAAGCGGAACAATTCTTTATTTTCTTTTGATAGATAGCCGAGCTACAATGTAATTTTTCCAAACTAACTTATTATATATAGGGCCTATTACATTTCATTTGTAAAATGTGGAATATGCTTTTTGCTACATTAGGTACTAGCTATTTCACGCTGTGAATATTCATTTTATACCTGCAGTAAATAACTTTTCCAAGAACTCCGAATTCTTGCGTAGTTTAGTTTTCCGAAACATTCTCTCTCTGCCTTTGCTAGTTAGTCTTCCGATCTTTCGCCCTTCTAAAATCGAAACTTTGATCATAACGCTTCAATAAATCTTGGTCAAGTCTCCCTTCAAACCCCCACATTATGTTTGGGTATCATGGATTTTCCAATAGTCTCTTTGGAAGTGATACGGGGTTTCAGCCCTACTTGTCTTCCACTGCCAATACCCTTGACTATTATTAACTCCGCTGATGTATGACAGGTTATTATCGATTCTTAGCTAAAATACCAGCACTTCACAAAGATAATTATTCAGAGATGATGACCTTATTGTGTGAATAGGTTAAGCAGTGTGACATTTGCACAACTTTTAGCGTGATTAAAAACATACAAACCCTTCCACAACGACATGTTTGGTCAATTTTTACATAGGCTTCAGCTCATTTTTTTTTTCGATATAATTACTTTACGCTTTCACAAGCTCAAAAGTCTTTTATGTGTGGTACTACCCACACTACAAAGCCACACAATTCACAAAACCGAAGGCAGAATCCACATTACAAACACCTATCACCACAAAATCCATAACAGTATCGTTTGTAACAAAGGTCCTCTTAGAAAATATTTTTATTGGATACTATTTTGGAGTCTCGCTTCTATACGACGCTAATTGAATTTCTGTGAAGTATTGCTTTTGAAGTAGAGCTTTTACAGACGCAACTTCCAAACTTGGGCAATAAATTAGTTCAGGGACGATAAGTCGAGTGATAAGTAAATCGGGAGATCGTGTTAGGTTGAAATTTTATATTTCTTGTTGAGAAATTGATGAAACATGGTCTCAAAGGGCGGCGCTGAAAGCCGAAACAACAAAATGATTTTGTCAACATCGAATTACTTCAATATATACCTTTT